ATGGGTTGTTTTGTTGTTTGTTTGGTAGGTTGTTTAGATTTTTTTAACAACCCAAAGCAAAACAAAAAAAAAAAAACAAAATGAAACCCCCAGAACTTAAAACAAATAAGCTACAGTTCCAAAACTAGTTAAACCTTCAACAAACAGAACAAAATAAAACTTCATCAGCTATATTAACCAGTTTCCTAAATTCAGAAAAGAAGAGGACAATCAGGTCATGTTTCCTTGCATAACTGGCTTGGTGTGCCTAGATTGTCATGTGGCTTCTGAAGCCGAATACAGGTAGCCTACACTAATTCAGCTTTATCTCAATTACAGCAGGTTGTTTTTTTTAAAGTAGGAGTTCCCACACTAAACCCAAGACTAAGATGTGCCATTTACATCATCCCACTGCCTTCTAAAGTAATTTTGAAAGTGAATTGTCAGAAAAATCTGAGAAATACTTTCATGTCAGGTAACTTTATTCATAGAACTATCACAGACTAGTACAAGTGCTTTCCAACCTCTATTTTTACTGCAGTATGTTAACCTACCACATAATTTTGTAAATGCCTATTGTTTGTGTCTCCTGCATGTAGCAGTTGCACTTAGAATGAAGCAGCTTGTTCTCTATTCAGGCTGTTGATCATCACAACACCAAATTTTCATGAGTTAAACCCAAAGTTTTAAATTATTAATTAACTATTATGAAACTGCAACACTGGAAGTCCTTTAACAGCAGAATAACTTGATCAGTGTACACGAGTGAACAAAATTAAAATATTTGGAAAAACAAAGGTGATTTTTTTATTAAGTTACTCTGCCCTGAAGAACAAATTCCAGCATAATCCAAGATTATCACAGATCAAAAAATGCCAAACTGCAGAACATACCTTCCTAGAGGATGACAAGCACAGCTAATGTTATGAAAGATAACTTTATACAATGATGAAAAATTAAGTTCACTCAAACTTAGGAAGTCTATGAATACTTCTATGTTAAGGCACTGATCACTGACAATAGCTCCCAAGACGTTTAAAAACATGTAAAATGGGTATTTTTGCCATTATTCAAGTTTCAAATACTGGCTACTACCGTGAAACAAAACAAGCAAATAGGACAATGTCTATATCCACATAAATGAGATGCAAACAAACATAACCTGGCATTAAGAATGCCCTTACCCGTTTCTGAATGAAGGCCAGAGAAAATATCCATGAGCTGTGGAATGAATAAGCACATTCAAGCACATCTATTAAGCACATAATTTTGATGCTGCCAAGGTAAAGACTGTCACAGTAGACAACTTCACTAACCGCTAATGTCAGCACTCACCATTAAAGGCACCACAGTAAGGACAAGTGTTCTTCTTTCGGCACTTTTCAGACACTTTCTTTTTTAGTCCTCTCTTCTGAAGATATGTAAGGCCGGGTCGCTTGAGGTAATCCAAAAACTGTTTCTTTTCTTCCACTGACAGCATGATACGGCAACAGGTTTTGCAAATCATCTTAAACGTAAACACACACAAACACAGTTGTTTAACAGACACATTCACCTCTTCTACTGTAACTTAAGTTCTTCAGCAGAGTGCAGCTTTTTAAAATGAAATAATATTGTATGGATGAAAGACCAATTCATATACTTTAACACACAGAAAAGTACATGGGAAAAAGAAAAATACAGTCTATGAGACAAATCCTTATTTAACTTCTGCATGATCTTAAAAATCCATATAAAGAAAACAGCTTTGCTTGACTGGAACGTCCTAAAAGGCAAGTTATACTGCATACATTGAATTCAAAGTCCTAACGAAAAAGAATAGATTAACCAGTCTGAGATTGCATTAAAAAAATGGAGGTAGTTACTTCACTAACTCTGGTATTTAAAAACATCTGTTTTATAAAATACAAGGTATGTAAATATCAAGTTTATAATACAACCTTAATTTGGTCTCCTCAATTTCCCTTTGAAGCACCATCTTTCCTGATAATTTCCTTTTTCTAGGCTAGAAACTGACAACAAATCATAATTCACGCTTACCTGTAAGATCCCTATCACAGCTTTGAAGTATCCAACATGAAAACATGGCAGCTCCAAGTCAATGTACCCATAATGACCTAAACAATCAGCTAGATTTTTTCCACAGGTTTCACAGGGACGATCTTTTTCACTGGTTCCCTTTGTGAGAAGAGGAATGCACACACAGAAAAACAAAACCAAAACACATTAGCGGTAACCAACTGAACACATAAAAAATACAAGAGTTTTTAAGCTAGTCAAATGTCCTCACAGCAGACCCACTCCTTTTTCCCTAGTATCAGAATCATAGAATAGTTAGGGCTAGAAAGGACCTTACGATCATGTAGTTCCAACCCCCCTGCCATGGGCAGGGACACCACACACTAAAACCATGTCACCCCAAGGCTCCATTCAACCTTGCCTTGAACACTGCCAGGGATGAAGCATTCACCACTTTCTCGGGCAACGCATTTCAGTGCCTCACCACCCTCACAGTAAAGAATTTCTCCCTTATATCTAATCTGAACTTCCCCTGTTTAAGTTTGAACCCATTACCCCTTGACAGTAGCATTACACTCATTCCAATGCAAGGATGTCTTCCACACACAGCCCTTACTGTTGTCAGAGAAGTTGTACAGCTCTTGCAACCGATCTACAGCCCACTAGTCTATACTATGGCATTTTGTAGATGGATGTCCCTGACTCTCCCAATAACCTGACAGGAAGAACTTATCACCTGCATCAAAAGGATGCTTTCCTGAACTCTCCAAAAGCATGAAGAAAGCAGTTGCCACTGCAACTAACACTGTGCAAATGAAGCAAAAACACATTTACACCTATGCTGGATGAGCAGTAAATTTCAGCCATCCCAATTTATTTATAATAATTTAAAATAATTCTACAAAGAGAGTATGAAGAAAACTCAAAACATTTCTCACCATGCGATGGTCAAGTACTCCATACTGCAGTGGAGAGTGGTGGTTGTCCTGACTATACAGGTTTTTGCTAACCACTTGTATGTGAGCTTGCTGACGCATCTCTTCTGGAGATTTCATGCCAAAACAGATGTGGCTTCTAGAACGGGAAATTTCACAAGTATGTATGTGCACATATATATGCAGATACACTTTTAACTGCGGACGTACATACACATATGTATTTAAAAGCAATGCAAAGGTGGCTGATTCACAATATTGCTGAAGCAGGTTCTTCCGCAATTACTTTAAAAATGGTGCTGTTTGCAGCCAGTTCGTGGTTCTTATCTGGGATATTTTGGGCAGCCCTACGGTTGTGTCCGTGCATCCTCTGCCCACTTCGCCCCTTCCCTCCGACCCTGGCCAGCAGCTCGAACGAAGCCCAACAAGCAGAGCTTGTAACACCACAAGCCATAACACCACTCAGGCTCCGCTCCCCGGCACACTAAACTTCTTTCCAGGACTTTCTGGAGCAGCTGGGGTTCAGCATCACAGCCGCCCGGGCCAGCCCACGACAACACCCGCTCCCCTGGAGCTGTACAGTCCCCTGTGTTGCCAGCCGGCAGTGGAGCGGCCGCCCACAAGCCTCCTACCGCGCAGAATGCCCCACGAACAACCCCACTCACATCTTCTTGGCCACATCGGTCTCCCGGAACTGCTCCTTCACCATGGTGGCGATGCACAGGAGCTGCGCGGCCGCGGACACCGACTCTCACCCTCCGGCGGGGCGACACGCGGCGGCGCAAAGGGGGCCCGCCCGCCCGCCGGCACAGAGCGTCAGGGGGGCAGAGCTGTCTCTACCTGCAGCGCCGCCTGCTGGGACAAGACTAGGGTCCGCCCGGTTCCTTCCCTGAGGGAGGCAGGCAGAGCCTCCCCGCTGCCAGCAGCGCCGCCTGCGCCGGGCAGTCCCTCAAGCCGGCTCACACACTGACCTACAGCAGAGCCGGCGAGCACTTTGCTGCGCACCGTAGTACTGATACAGTCCGGCCACCACCACTCCCCCAGCGCTGCTGCTGCCGCTTAGTTCACTTCAGAGCTCTACAGTGGGTTTCCTCTATCGTAGTCCTGTCCCTGGCTTCAGCTAACAGCAGGCGGGAGAAGACAGCAAAACCAAGCCCTCAGCAGTACGCAGCGGGGAAGGTTGCCTCGCTACACAGTGTGGAACCAGCCTAGAGACAACTGCCTGACACCTCAGAATCACACCCACCACCCGCACCATTTTCTGCTGGGTCTGGCTTTGAGACAGGCACCCCCATACAAAACTCCGCCCCAAGTCGAAGGACCCCTCACTGCGTTATGATTGGCCGTGACTAAATCCGCCCTTTTTCTTGCTCGCTGGCGGAGCAGCTGCTGTCAAGATGGTGAGTATCTGACGGGGATCTGGGGGAATCCGCCTTGTACTCCTGCCATCCTGTTCTCAAGGGGCTCCCCAGGTGCTGGGCACTGCCACGCCGCTCTCCCCGTAGCGGGTTGGGGGGGTATGCGTAAAACTCGGTGGGGGCTTGATCCACCGCTTTGAGCCAGGACTCCTGCGGCCTGGCTGAGGTGTGCTGGGGCTGGTCCACAGTGGCGAGCTGCGGGGTGTGGGGCGGGACGCATGATTGGTCTGCTGCGTGTTCATGCTCCTGACTTGTAAGAGCAGTCCTAGGCTTTGACAGGAGGGTAACGTGTTTCTCTTTCAGTGTTAAAAGCACTCGTGTATTTTTATGTACCTATCATACTCCACTTAATTTTATGCCTATTGTTTGAAAGCATTACGGAAACAATAACTTACAAAGTTTTTTTAGGTAATTCCTGCATTAAGGAAGTAGTACCACATAGGTTTGTTAAGGAAACTTATGTATGATGCTGTGTTGCTTGGGCTTGTAATCTCTGTGCTTCATTAAAAGCTGCTGCAGATTTTCAGCATGGTAGTTGCTGTATTGCCTGGAAAGTGGAGGTGAGTTTGCCAGGTTTTCAGTGTATAGGTGTTTTTGGTAGCCCAGGATCAGTCCATCTTTGGTTATTAGTTTACTGTCAGTATCTATTCTGAAAGGCTACTGGCTGTTGCTGTACCTCTTTACTAAGCTTGGATTGCATGTGTAACTGTTGCTTTGTTTTGCTTTATCATCTTTTGCAGAATGACACGGTGACCATCAGAACCAGGAAGTTCATGACAAACAGGCTTCTTCAGCGCAAGCAGATGGTAAAATAATACAGAAATTTGTCTTTAATTATATGTCTGTTGATTTTGGGCTGCAGGTGGGTTTTTAGCCATTGTAAATAAGGGGCCCTTAAAACCTCCAGAATTCTTGTTAGAGTTTATAGGTTTAAATATGGTGATATATAGTGAGAGTAAGTCTTGATGATCTAGAGATCTGTATTGTCATTTGAAGTTGTGCCAGGGAAGGTGTAAACTGGATATTAGGAAAAGTTTCTTGACTGATGGGGTTGTCAAGAATTGGAACTGGCTACCCAGGGAAGTGGTGGAGTCACCATCCGTGGAGGTATTTAAAATACATGTAGATATGGCACTTAATGACATGGTTTAGTGGTGGACTTGGCAGTGGTTGGTTAGATGTTCTTAAAGGCCTTTTCCAGTTTAAGTTATCCTGTGAAGCAGGAATCTTAAGAATGTTTTTGTATCAAACTAATAACGCGCCTAAGGTAAAGTAGTTTAAGTGTTAAGCTTGTGGTGGGGCTGTAGCATGTGGCTGTTGTACTGGATAGTAACCTTTTATGGAACTTGTAAACCTTTCTTCTTAGGTGATTGATGTTCTTCATCCTGGGAAGGCCACAGTCCCCAAAACAGAAATCAGGGAAAAGCTGGCAAAAATGTACAAGACAACCCCTGATGTAATTTTCGTCTTTGGCTTCAGAACTCACTTTGGTGGTGGCAAGACAACCGGCTTTGGCATGATCTATGATTCCCTGGACTATGCAAAGAAAAATGAACCAAAGCACAGGCTTGCCAGGGTAGGTTCTTTTCCAGTAACTTGAGAACAGTTAGGATGGATTTGAAGTTTTTAGTCATTCATGATGTGCAGATGTAAAAGCTGAAGCTTTGTGAAAGTACTGTTGGTGCATTTGGAGTTATACAGGAGTTCTTAAAATAGCATAGGTTAGTTTCTGCTTGCAGTAAAGGCTAATTTTTCTTTATTGTGTACTATAGGGGAATTGGGAAGGCAAACCTGATGTTACCAGTGTTGTTTAGTAGTAATAAATAACTGACCCCTATTAAGGGTCTTGAAGAAGTATGAGAGATGAGGCTGATCCATGTGCTACTTCAGTGCTTCTATTCTGTGTCGAGTAGCTCATTAAGGTAGTGAATTTGTCTCACTATTTAATTGAAATTTTAAATTGGAAAAGTATTTGAAGAGTTGAGAAGTGGAACTTAAATTCAGTTGGTATCAGTGAAGCAATGTTAAATGCAACTTTTAACTGTTTTTTAATAGCATGGCTTGTATGAAAAGAAGAAGACTTCCAGGAAGCAGCGAAAGGAGCGTAAGAACAGAATGAAGAAAGTGAGGGGAACAGCCAAGGCAAATGTTGGTGCTGGCAAGAAGGTAGGATGAGAATATCTTTAAGCTAGAGTGGGTGTGTTGCCTGTGAAATGTTGATCAGAAATTCTTCAACACATTAATATTATTTTTCTTCCATTTCTTTTACCTGTTCTACTGGATAACAGAAGGTAATCTGTGTGGTGTCGTATAGTTAATCAGCTCAGTAGCTTAGTTTTGCTCCTCACTGCTGCAAGCTTAGTTGATATAACACAAAACAGTGCTTCTTATGTGATTTTTATGTGTCACTTGAGCTAAAGTTAAACTTTCATAAATCTAACAGTATTGCTCTGATCACATAACTTAGTCTTACAATATACACATTAGATAATCTTAACACTAGTTATTCAGACTACCTAGATATATAATGCTTATTCCACCAAGTTACTCCACTGCAAGTTACTCTCGTGCTTATTCCACCACTGCTATTTCTGGTGTTACTTACAGAGAAGATTTTGTTAAGAATAATATGGTGATGTAGGCAGTGAGGACTGTATATAGATAAAAAAAGGTAGAATGCCACCTTTATCCTGGGTTTAAGTGGAGTTACCCTCTGGTGAGACCTTCCTGTGCTGTGGCTGGAACTTGATACAAGTAGCTTGGAGGGAAGCAGAGTTCCTCAATCATTAAACAAAAAGCCCACCCAAAGTAGCCTGAATGTAAAGACAGTAATTTTCTTAGCACCTTTCGTTGTCTGAAAAATACTGAGTAAGCTGTGCAGCTAAGTAGGTTTTTAAAAGTGTTTTAATGAGGAGAGAGAGTGATGTGTTTTGATCCTTATTTCTGTAGCTGCTTAAATGCCTTGATATCTTGAATTTTCATAATCCTCACCTTTGCTTTTTCTCTACTTTCTTGGAATTCTCCATCAGAAATGAAGTATCTAGCAGGTACTGAAAAAGAGCATGGATGTGGTGACTGAATTGTACATCAGTGAAATGTGTGTCCATCCTTTTGATCAAAGCACTGTACTGCCTTGCATACGTGCATGTTTGCTTTAAACTTGCTTCTGTCCTGTAAGGGTTCACATAACCACATATGAGCTTTATCCTGTGCAACCTAGAAATAAGATTTGGCTTGTAGTGAACAAGACTTTCTGAAAGTAGTGAAACAACATTAAAATAAGGAATTCTCGGTGAGAAGAAATCCAGGAAACTCAAAGCTACTGATTTGAGGCATTGGTTTAGAATGCCCCAGGTTCTGATTCAAAGTAGTACAGTGCCGTTGCATGTGTAACTCGACCTTTTGTGTGAAAGTAGATGTGCATCGTTACGAGAACTAACTCACATCGCAGTTTAGTGCATTTGAGATGATGACTGGAAACAAGACAATTGTCAGCATTAAATTTGTTTAACTATTGCCCCGCAGTATTCCAAGTTAAGACAAATTACAGTGAAATTGGAAGTCTCTGAAATTGTATTCTTAAGGTCTAAGTGAAATTCTTGCCATCACTGGATGGAAATAAACCAGTGCAAACTGCTAGATGAGAGAACTTCTATGCTAGATAAGATTTGGAGACTTTTTCCTTTCTACTTTAATATGGTTTTAAAGTTATGCAAGTGCTTACAGTATAACAGCAGAAATTAGCACTTAGTATAGTAGTAACACTAATACACACCCTCTTGTCAATGTCAAGGGAGTACTTTAATCTTGCACTGATACTGGTAGTATGGAGGAGCTTCCGCACTTTGAACTTTTGCATTCGAAGGTAGCTGTTCTTGAGCGTTAATGCAGAATGGTCAAATGACTGTCCTTGAATTACTGAAGCCAGTCCAGTTCATCGAAATGATCTTAAACCATATAAAGACTTCAGAAATTTAAGATCAGCATTGCAATAATTATAGAGCAGATACGGCTTCTGTATCAAGTGCTTCTGAAACTAGCATGTAATCTCTGTAGTGAGTTGTGCTTTGATTGGAGGCTTTTTTAATGTCTTTGAAAATGATCTTTTAGTTGCATGGCTTAGATCTTGTTTACAATTTTTGATAGTCTTTCTGTCCTCACATTAAATTAAAGATAATTTATGTGCTTTCTGGAAAGCGTGATTGAGAGAAGTTGTGTGCTGTATCCCAGAAAAAAGCTTGTGCAATCCACTTGCATGTTAAAGCTTTGTCTTCGAAAAATGCGTGTTTAAACAAAATGGTGTGACCTCCTTTATCATGGCCATGTGGAGGATTTTTTAATAGGAGTCCAGGAGTGTGTTTTGGACTCCATCTGTAGTCTGAAAACTGTTTATCTTGGAAATGTGTAGGCACTTGTTTATGAGATGTCTTCAGGCAAGACTGTGTTCTTGCAAGAGTTAACTACCACATAGACATGAAAACTGTTGAAATGGTGAATTGTATTTTAATAGTTTTTCTTGAACTTTTAAGTCAGACATTGACTGTGCTGATGTCTGACTGTTAAAGTTTTTCTTTGGTGTCTCCTTCCACTTACTACTTCAGAATTCCCATTCCCCTGTAGTTTCAAGAAAAGTATTTTAAAGTAGTTTGTGTTACCTAAAATGTTACGTAGCTCTAGGGTTTGCAGAACACTCGTGTAAGTTTGCAGCAAGTAGATGTGAATGTAGCGTTTGTATTCAGAGCAGTGACCCATATACTCTGGAATATTGAAATGCAAAAAACCCAAACCCTTCCCTACCTTTTAATGTCACTACTGTAGTTATGACTGTCTTGACATGAGAGCCTCCCAGTCAGAAATGTTTTTTAAAACCAGCTTGATCAAACAGAAGTGTGGATAGATAGGCATTTTAAGCCATTGCAGCCTGTAGGTATAATTGAACATGCAGTTGCATTCTGAGCATTATTTAAGCTCTAAACACTATTGCTAGGTCCTATCTTGAGTTTGAGGGAGTGTGTGAAATCTAAGTCTTCAGCCTCTCTACAATGTCAAAACTGTGAGGTTTTCCTGTGACATTCCACTGTAATAATTGAAAAAATCATATTGTTAGTGTCCATAAAAGGCCTCAAAGCTCCATCTTCTGCAGTAGTAGGATTTAGATTAAACTATTCTCTAATTAATGTCATTTCTTTTTCAGTAAATGAACATCCTTCAGATGGAAAATGGACAACAGGTATGACTTTAAAATGCTTTGGTAAGGGTAGACGTTGAGTAGTCTGTAGTCATTACAATGACACAGGTCTAATTGATTTCTGCAAAGACCATGGTACTTGTGCTGATACAGAGACCAGTGTAAGAGTTTAAGTACTCACTGTGCTTACTACAGAGTTGATACTTTATGTGGCTTCCACTTGCATGAAATAACTGATTAGTATAAAGCCTGAAATAATAAATTGGGCAGTTTAGATATATTGTTGCTAAAACTGTTGATTATTTAGTTTTATTGTAAACAAGGCTTACATTTTTCCAACACTGATGTAGGTATGCTAAGGAAAGGATAGTGAACCCTGGTTTTTATTATCTCAGATAGTTTGAAGTAGTATGATTTCTATTTTGAGCACAAATTTCTTATAGGTACTTAAGTAAATTCCCTATTTAATAAATCACACTTGTAGACAAGTCTTAGACTATATTTTTATGTCTTTTCTGCAGAATCATAAGTGAGTTGGACATGTTGAGGGCAGTAATTGTCACAGACAAAACTCTGGGTTTACTACAAATGGTCTGAATGACTCAGTTTAAATAAAATTAAACTCGGAGCTGATAGATTGAGTATAATGTCTCAAACATGGAGTTGTCAAAGCAGTTGGAGCTTGTTGAACTCTTCTGCAGAAATGCTGTAATACAGGCTCTCATTTGTTTTCACAACAGTGAAATTTTGAACCCCGTGTTCTTTCAAGAAAGGCAGTGTGGTTCGCTTGTTTGGGAGCCAGGTTTTGTAAAGGTATGACTGTAACAATTGTTTTAATTATGTGGCATTGATATATCTTTCTCTTTACAGACTACATTATTCTATGAAGAACTGCTCTGGAAAGAATATGTTCATCTGGAATTAACATCAAATAAACAATATAATGCTGGTTTGCCCTTTAATTTTGATTTGGAAGCTACCATTTTGTAAAGGTTGAGAAATTCAAGATTGGTGCATTGCTGGCACTATATTAAAATCTTTTCATAATTAAATGACTCCTGTTTTGAGTATCAATTTTAAGTGAATCAGAGCTTTCTGCAGGTAGTAGTATAACCTAATTCTAAGCAGGCAGTGTAAGTTCATGGAGATAGGTATGCTTTAGTCACCTGGTGTTCAAACTGTGGTTTGGAAGGTCCTTTAAGTTCTGCGTGTTTCATTACCTGTATTATGTAGACCTGTAGAAGGAGCTGAAGGGAGGGCAAAACATGTAGACAGACACTCAGAGCTGTATACTTCCACAGTGAAGATTTTTGCTAATGAGGGGGTCAGTCAGTCACGTCCCTTGTTCCTGTGTTGTGAGGACAGGCTCTAGGATCTGCCTCTGGTCTGCAAACTGCAATATACATTTAGTTTTCATCTGGTAGTGTTAAAGAAGTCATTAAGATTGGAATAGTGGCTGCGTGAGGCATGCTCTATGCTAGAAGTATGGGCATTCTGGTGCAGGTGTTTTGAGTAGCAAGCAAAATAGAAGTTTTATACTTGAAACAGACTGTGTGGCTCTAGCAGCTGAACTGATGAAGGCTCTGACTTGATTATTATCTAAGTACAGTAATTGCCTTTGTACTAAGGTAGCATATTTTAACACAGGGCATTTCTAGTGTTTTTGGTAAAACCAAAAAACCCTGAGAAGTTAAAGTGTTTGGAAGGGGACTACAGCCTGAGTCTTGGACTAGTGAGGTTGCTGTATTCTGCATTCAGGAGCATCACACTTTTATCTGTACAGTAAATTTTCAGTACCTTGTGCTGTGGTGTTTCTGCCTTCACTGTAGTAACTGGAATCAATAAGCAGTAGCCCTTGTGAAAGGGTAGGTGCTTCAGTTTCTTCTTAAGCATATGTGAACTAGTGGTGTTAGACTAGGATGGTGAAAAGCAGTAATTTCTTCTGAAATAATAGTTTCTGAAGTCTTGTGGATGTTAAAGGCTTTTTTACTTGGCAGACCTTCGAAGATAGGTACCTCTTGGATGTTCTTCTCAAAGCTTCTAAGTATATTAAATTCTGAAGAATTAATTGCTAGAGGGGTATTAAAAGTGGGATTTGTGTGCTTAGGTACAGGATGTGCACTGAACTCTTGAGTCTAAAGATGTGTTCGGAGTAGGTGACTAAATTTCTGGAAACTGAGAAGATAGTAAGGGATGTGGAACAAATGTAATGCATGTAAGGCACAGTTAGAAACTGGATCTGCTTTAAAGGTAATACCTTCAGTAAACCCTTTCTGTACATAATGTTCAACATTAAAGGAGAGGAGTCATGCTATTAAATGTAATTGAACAATCACTAGAGGGTGATGTGAACACAGCAATACAAGTAGGATTTGGATAACATGTTTTCATAAAATAGGCTGAAAGAAAGCCAAATTGTCCTCTGCCAAAGAGGTCAACTCCTTTGAAAATATGCATCAAAAATAGTTGTGTTTAGGATCTGAGGCTTTAAATGATATTTTTATTTTTATGGTTTTTTTTTGAATTTAATGGAAACCATCTGTTTCAGTGAAGACCGTACAGTTAGTGTTTTCCAAATGTTTGCTACTTTAAAGCTTTAGAGTGCTGGCGCAAATTCTAGTTGCTCTTTTCAGAAGCCTCCTTACCTTAGTTTTAAGCAGTCAGCAAGGGATTTATAAATAAGTGCTTGCATAAAGGTATAGGCCTTGCATAGTCTTGATGTTTCGACTTTACATAGTAAAAGGTACTGTTATAAGGGGGCATGTACCTCTTCAAACAGAATTTAGTTCTGGAGTTGCAGTAATAAAGGTTGCTTTCTTCAATTCTGTAATGTCTTGCATGCTATTCATTACAGGCTCATTTGAGGTACAGGAACTTTTTGAAGCCGATGGAATGAAATAGGCTGTCTTACTGCTTGGTGCTGTGATTTGGTATTTGATGCCCTGTTTTGGTGATAAGATTGACAGCAAAAAATACCTAGTGAATCCACAGAACAATTGACTTGTTCCTTGATGCAGGGTTCAGCTATAACCACGTATCTATAAGCCATACTCTTGTCGTGCAGTATGAGGCATTAAATACAAAAAACAGGGAGGGGGGCAAAATGACATTAAGTGATCTAGAATTAACTGATCAAATCGGATGACCTAATACTGATTTTTTTTTCCCCACTATTCTGCAGTATTACATATTTATGTGTCTATTTTGTCCTATAATTCCACCTGGAAAATGCCAAGCAATTGAGTAGTTGTCATCTGAAATCTTGGTGCTTCAACAGTCTGAAGACATAAACAGCTCTGTGTGTGAGTTTCTGTTCTGTCAACATTTTGCCTTCATACACTACAGATACAAGCAATATGTAGCAGGTGTTCTGTAATTCACAAGTTTAATGCACGTCATACTGTGAAGACTCTAGGTTAATCCTCTTTACTGTGGGAGCTAAACCAATCAAGTGGAAAGCATTGATGAACAGGAATCTTCACTTTTTTCCCCTACTGTGTATTGAAGGTATCCTTTTATTTCCTGCTGATCTTGGCACATCCCATCATCTGTAGGTAATAGTTTTTGTCACTGTTGCCTGCTTTTAGACTTTGGCCTGGCCCTCTTATTTCAATATCCCAGGTATTTTATCTATTTGATGACAAGTTTGGAGCCCAAATTAGACTGTGAAGGCTTTTTGGAGCAGGAACTTCTAAACTAAATCAGTGAGTAATCTCAAATTGATATATATGGAAAGACTTCTATTTACTTTTAATAGCTAGAAATTGAATGGTATGGGATTTTTATGGAGGTTATAATTACTATGGAAGATGTTGGGTTGGTTTTTTTTTTTTCCCCTATAGGAAGGACTGAAACTTGTGTAGCTAGACTAGTATAGTTTTCCCTTGAAATACTTAAAAAGCTGTGCAGAAGCCTTAAGGCTTGACTTATCTGGATCAAGCAGTCCACCTTCCTGAGGTTCCACCTCTGTATTCAGGTCAATATATAAGGCACAGCCAGGTATTGGTGGCTTCTGTCTGAAGGTGGTTGTAGTCTATAAGGCAAAATAAACTACAGAAAAGAAAGATTTACCAGGGAAGCAGAGTCTGATTGGAGGAGCAGAGATTAGTGTCTTGGTGTCATAGAAAATAACAACTGTGATACAGATGAAAGATGCTAAAATTTGGCATCACCTGGGCAATGCGGTGGTTTTGTCTAGGGAGCAGCTTCTAACAGGCTTAAGAACAACTGTTTAGGGAAAGAAATTACACTAATACTGTCGGTGGCTTGAAATAAGTGAGGCATAGTATACCATGAAAAGACTGCTGCACTCATAGGCAGAAGGATAAAAGATTGGTGTAGCTTCTCATTGCTCATAGAAAATGAGCCATGTTAGGAATAAAGTATGCAGGTCACTAGCAAATCTATTTGCAGCAGTCAAAAGAAATTAACTTGACTGTAATATTCTGGTCAGTTCCTGTACAAAACTGATTTTAATGTCGTTAGTTTCCTACACAGAGGAAATAGAACATTGTCCTGTAGCAGCTGTTGATACTAGATTTGTATAGCAAGTTTCAAATTCTAGTTGTGAATGCTTCCTGCTCATGTGCTTCTATTTGAGTGAAAATAGGTACAGAGAGTCTTTCTTTAGATGGATATTTTGGTGGTGCTAAGAGACCAGATGAAAGTAGTTTATGTTTTTGCTCTGAATGCTGGCAGTTTCATATAAGCAGAACTTTTCAGTATCAGTGGCAAATACTTCTTTTGTTAATCATGTTCCTAACACAACAGCAAAAAGACTAAGTTACTTCTATGAACACATTTGTAACAATGCCTCTAAGACATAAAATGGAAAGGTTTAAGTAAGCTTTGACAAGTCAATGTCAGGAGTAAGTGCATTCCTGGAACATTAATGCTTTGGACTCCTTTGCTTTAAAGGGATTAAGTGGAAATTTAGTCTTTTGTTTGCTAATATTTGTGAATGATAGTTACGTGTTAAAAAATAAAATCCCCTGTGGATTTTTATCCTCATCTGGAATTCATAAATTTCCTCCTAATTTTAATCTTTGCTCTCTGCAAAGGCTGTGGCTAATAAAACAGCTTCAGAAATGGCTAAAAGGCATCCTGTGAGCTAGAAGATAATTGTGTTTTTTTTCAAAGAGCTGGCCATCATCAGCCAGTGCTACTAATAAAGCTCCATCTTCTTTTCCAGTTAACTGCTGTTCATCCATGGAGATCCTAAATAAGGTCAAGTAGAGTGCTGAGGCAGAAGGACATTCAGAGCATCTGTGTCTTCTCTTAACAGAGTAGATGTTATACAGCCAGCAAAAACTATGAGTGTGATGCTTCACTGGGGCAGATGATAAGTCTGTACTTGTGTTCATTGGGTTAAAATACAGCTTGTTATCTAATGAAGCTGGCCAGACTGCAAACTGACCCGCATTAGGAGAAACATGCTTCACTGCCTTTCATGATGATCTGATTTGATTGTAGTGGAGCTGCTACCCTGCTATCATTTTCTGTCAATTTTTGCTAGCCTGTTTGTTAAGCCAGGCATCATTTGGGTTGATTCGATAACAGGTTTCAATCACTGATAATAAAACTTTTCTGCGACAGATGACCCCAGATCCATATCTACTGCACATTGTTGGCTGCAAGTAGAAAATTGGGACTGTCACTTTCCTTTTTCAGTATTTTCTGTCTGGTTTAATAGACAACGTAAAAACCACAATAGGAGTGGCTTTATATTTTTAAATTAAAAGGAGGAAAAGCCGAATTTAAAAATGTTGGCCAATAGTTCTTGCATTGCTTGTTTCACTTTTTGCTTTATAGTTTGATAGATCGTACTACAGAACAGAATTTAAATTAGGCCTTTTTTGTTTGTTTTTTTGTAAAGCAAGTAGAGGTGCATTATAAAATGTAAGCGCTGTCAGAATTCATGTTTTAAGTATTTATTTTAATTGATCAGTTCTGGTTATTGAGGAAAGTTAGATTGATCTAGACCCTACTTCAGGGCGTTACAAAAGTAAAGACTAATATAAAGACCTAGGATTGAATTTTTTTTCATATTCAC